CACATGGTCCTACTAACAGCTATTGCTTGTTACCATTTAAGGTAGTCTCTCAATACAGATAAGTTAATCACTTCCCAGAACATAGACCTGTAAGGTCTTTGAAGATCAGTACAGTCTTGTCAGTTGTTTTTATGTGAACTACCATGTAAATCTTCCACAGATGGCCAGAAAAACCTGGAGGTTGCAGCTTCGACCCTCAGTTCCCAGCTGTGGTCTGTTTTTCAATATATATCAGTTCAGTGACTGCCAGAAAGGCATACAAAAGTGATCTAGCTTAAGAATATGAGGGAAGGATTCATGTTATGTTAATGCAGGCTCTAAGTGGTTTGGAAACCTGATTGAGTCTATTGGTTGTGGCAGCTTTTTCTCCTTCCTCTTGGAAGGTCTGGCATTGATTCTCTGGAATTAGTATAGTATTACGCAAGTTAACAAGGTAAAAATTACTGTTATAAAGTCACCTACTGTGTTCACAGGCTTCTTCTGTGATAAACTATATGGTGTGGATGCAAATTTGGTATGCTTGAAGGATGGAAAGCAAGAGTAAGAAACGCATGTTTTGCCTGCAGAGAAACAGCTAAGGGCAAATAGAAAAGCGATTCTGGTAAAAAGTGTCTACAAGAGAAAGGTGCTGTCACTGTGGTTTTATTGTTATCTCAACAATACAACTGAACAAATATTTGAGAGAGAGAAAAAGATGATTTTACAACTATTAAGATATCAAAGTAACTTTCATATTCATAAATTCTTTTATATTTTCCATTAATGCTTGTGCACAGTTTTTACTTTTATAATAACTTTCAGAGGAATTGACCATATTACAGTCAGTGTATTATGCATTTGCACAAATTGCACTCTTTAGTCTTTTCCTTTTTGTAAAAATTGATTTTTCTGGTTATAAAGGTTTTCTTTTTTCCTTCAGATTTTACATCACGAATAATACACCTGGGTCACTTCTCCAACCCTTTTTTTTTAACACTGGTAAGGATTTATTTGTATGAGGAGACAATCCGACTTACAATGAATAGTTGAAGACCGTAATAGAACAAAAAAATATTCAAATAATCCAGAGGTTGCAATATGTTTGTATAAAGTATTCAAACAATTTCAAATAACAACTGAACTTGTAAAAATCAACATCTGTTCATGGATTATTCATGAATCAAAATGGTAAGATTCCTTCAATAAAAATAGTCTTCAATGAATAGCTACCCTGGTTTCTGGGGGGAAAAAAAAAAAAAGGATTCATGCAAACAGAAATCTCAACTTCAAGACATTCATGAAGCTCAGATTCATTAATGCTAAAATTATCCTCTGGTCTATAAATTGCTGCACCAAACCCACTAATAAAAAAATCCAACAAGAACAACAACAACAAAACCCCCAAACAATAACAAGATAGCATTTACTGTATCAATTTAGGTTATTGTGGGGTCTTTTCTACAAACTATGTATTTGGAGTGAATCTGTAATTGCATTCGGCAATTTGTAAAGGAGGATTATCCTGTTAAAATGCAAACCTTTCTTTTTGTTTTAGCAAATACCTGCAACGATGAGTTCATATATAATAGGTTAAAACTATTAATAGAAACTATAATAAGAAATCAATAGCTGTTCAAACCTGCAAGTATGATTTTTGCCCAACTGAGAGGTAGGAAACTCTTCTATGGTTTGGCATACAGACACAAAAATCACACTAGGTATCATTTTCAGAACAATGCACATTTTTAATTTATGAATGTTCTTTTATAAACTTGTATATACAGTCACTCTTTTTTTGCCTTTTTTTTTTCCTCCAGTGCTACATAATTATAACTTGCAAAATGTAAATATTTATGAATTCACAGGATGTTCTTTGGAAGTGAAGAATATTATACTTGCAGATTTTTCTTGTACTTGCAGGATTCACATAATATTACTTGCCATCACGATGTACTGAAAAATGCAAAAAAAAAAATAATATTCTACATTTGACTTTTCTGAAAAATACCATCTGGTGTTATTTTTTGAGAGTTGGAGATTAGCTCTGTAATTGCTTATAGTTAGAGATAGACATTACTACATTTATTGACAATTTTATTCTCTACAATAATCTTACATTTAAATAGTGACTTTGTTCCTGAAGGATGCCAAAGTGATTAAACTGATATTCAAACACTTTGGATCACATCACCCACAACTGAAATGCAGCCATCTCTGGGGTGAAATATTGCAGCTGTTTAACAGCGCTGAACAGCACTGTATAACAGCTTTGGAAATGAAGAATACCTTATTCAGATGAAAACGGGGATATTTAGGTAGGCAAAATAATTATCCAAGTTGGTATTTGGCCAGGATGTTAGTGCTCATATGTCTATACTCAGAAAAAAAGTTATGCTGACTCCTTAATAACCAAAATTACTCAGGACCTTGGGTCTGCTGCTCATCTTAGAAAGGGCACTGCCCAACTGAAACCCCAGCCCTGTTCAGTGCTGACAGCTTGAGTCAGTTGGACTTTTCCTGACCACATGGATATCATGCACCAACTCTTGTGAACCTTATTGCATGGAAGAATCCACTGTGGTGGCTGTGCAGGTTTGGAGGCTGCAAGTGCATCTAAGTTGCCTCTCAGATAACTGTGATTTACAAAAATGGATTTTCAAAAATTTTACCTTTCCTTTGCCCCAATTTTGTCACACTTCAGAAGTGGGTGTCACCTCACCTAAACTCCAATGAGGTACATGAAGATAATAGTCAATGCCTTTCCGGATCTCTGTTGGCTTTCATATTTTTCATCTTGTTCATCTTGTTCATCAGATCACCTTACTATCTTGGGCTGGTTGTTCTTTGTTTTAGTTGATGTGCTCAGACTGGACAAATATTTCAGCAGGCATTTTCTTCCACACAGTTATACTAAAACTCTTCATGTCATTAGTTTTCCATCATACATCTACTGCTCATGAATTAAACGGACAGGACTTGAAATGTGAACTGCATCTACAATCTCAATGGAACAATACATTTAGCTCAGGTACATCATCAACATTAAAAGAAAGCACTGTCAAAGTTAAAAAGCAAGAAACTCTTTGGTAAATCATCGGCCTCCACATAAGTTTCTTTGCTTGTGTATGCCAAAAAATTCCTCCTCACTCACAGCTGCCAAACACAGTATATTTTTGCACTGCTCTCTGTTTATCATCTACAGTGCTTATTGATGTGCAATTACATCCAACTACACCAGCAGTGTGCTCTTTCTCATCTAGCTGTCAGAGGTGATCAAAATATCATGCCTATGGATTTCTTTAGCTCACATGCAGCAAAACTTCCACTGAATTTTATCTAGGTGGAGATGTTACATGAAGAAGTATTGTGGAAATCGATTTTCTTAAGGTTGTTCAGAAAGTCAGTGGCACGGCCAGGACTTTCTCAATTCCTGCTTCAATGGTTGTCATTGTACACCTAGCCAATTCACTGGAAGAGTTCACCTTTTTTAACTAAACGGGGGGGGGGGGGGGGGGGGGGTATTTGTTTTTTGGGTTGTTTTTTTTTTTTCCTTCTCTCAAGTTGTAGCAACAGCCAATTTTCTTACCTTGTTTCTTTTTGCTCAGGTTTGGTCACAGCTGGTTCAGTTCCTCAGGTACTCATAGTAGTGTTTGTATGTTTCTTGAGTGTAAATTCAGACACTTTGCACAGAAAGAAAAGGTTTGGGGTTTTTTATTTGCAGAAAAGCAAATAACAAGAGGAAAATAATATATTTTTTTTAAAAGTCATACAAAATGTCAATCTACAGTATGATTTTGTGATAATCAGAAACCAATATTTGTTATCTATTTGGTATAGCAATAATGTGGCTAGCTCTTGTTTTCTTGAAAAAACAAAATGAATTCCTAATCACAAAGACTTCAAGCCACTAAATGTAATGATTTGTGAGCAAAAAGCTGTGATGAGTCAAAACATGATGATTTTCTGTCTGTTAATGTGGATCCATTTGCTTTGCTGTAGAGAGAGAGAGTTGTTGCATGAATTTACCGGTTTTGAGATTAAACACTTCAAAGGATATCAGGATCAAACTTCTTGCTTCTCATTCTCTTTTTGGTGACAGGTAAAATACTTCAAAGTTTTTGTTTTGATGGAAAATGGTAGAAACAGACTTCTACCTAGCTCTTCTTCATCATAGTATTTCAGAGTAAGATCTAGTAAAAGCACAATCCTTAATCATTTTTGTTAATTACATTTATAAATAAACACATAAAAAATAAAATCATTAAAAGACACTATGAAATTATATATCTATAATTATAAAATATTAACGATTGTCTAGAACTAAACCAAGGCAGCTTATACGTAACTATGTGTATACTTTTATTTCATTTTTCCCTCCCTTTCTGTCTATAGCTGCTCTTACTCCTTTACAATTATCAGTACAGATATTTGTAAAAGAAACATTTAATCCTACATCTATAACATAGAGGTGTGCAAATCTTTTTCTTTGTTTTCTGATAATTATAAAGAGACTTTTATAATGCTCATTTCATCACTACTTAAGAATATTTTTATGCTATAATAAGTAAACAATAATTTCAGGGCAAATGAAAGACATCATTCCACTCAAAATGCATATTCTCATTTATCATGACAGAGTTTTTTGGAATTTGAAATCCAACTTGGAAAGGTTTTTTCACATGTGAATAATGTTTTGAATGCATTGTCATTTTAAATTGAATTAAAAAAAAAAACCAAACCAAAGCCACCTTCCCTCTTGATGTAGAAATGATTTACAATTCTTCATGCTAAAAAGACTTAAAAAAAATTTGGGAAATAATTTAAAAAAAAAAAATTGTTACATTTTCCAGTTCACATAGATGTGTGAAACTGTATGTTTTGCTTTAAATTATGCGCAGAAGGTGTGTCTCATTTTAAATTTTGGACCACCTTATGCCATCTATTTTTAACAGCTATTAGTGTTTGGGCCGTAAGTTGTTAAAAACTTCTGACCTAATTGGCCTTTTGTCCACAGCCTGCTCCTGGTGCATTTGAAGGTCAAGGCTTCTTCCAAAGAAATATTTTCTGTCTCTGTTTGCTGTGTACTGCTAATCAGTAGTAAACATTTGTATTTATGCAAATACAAGTAATGTAATTTTAAATACACTTGTGGGACACATCTAAATAACCAGCTATTTTCTCATCCTTTTTAGGAGAGGAACTACATTTTAAGGATATGTCATTAACAAGCTGTAGATGTGGCTGTCCTGTTAGAAGACCAGGATGCCTATTAGGAGCCAGATTATGAACTTTTGTGCTTATTTTATAGATTACTATTAATGTGAAATTCAACTATTTTTTAGAGCCTAATGATCAAGAAAGGACCATGTTAATATCACAGTGTGGACAAGATTATTCCCAATGATTTGAGACACTATGGTGAGATTTGAAACACATTGGGGTCACTTTAAACTTACTATTTTGCATTCATATTATTCTACCATGATGCAAAACATTCTAGTGTGCTATGTTATCAATAGAAAACCTGCAAAGTGTTTTGCCTTGACAGAGAACTAGAAAGCTACTTTCCTTCTGTATTTTCTAAATGAAATTGTCTACAAAAAAATCCAGTGCTTAGACTACACTTGATCCTGTAGGAATATATTGACTAATTTGATAAAAAAAAGGAAGAATGAATCACCTCTGGGGGAAAAATATTCTGACCACTTTAAATAAATTGAATGCTTATAATATATGGAAAAAAAACCCTTAGTTAGTGACATCATTAAACCATAGTAGTTTTGCTTCTAAAAGATAAATCAAGACTAAAAAAAAAATGAAAATGGAGACTTATAGAAAAAAAAAAAAAGCTCTACAGGTGTCTTCAGCAATTAAACTATCTTTTAAAGAGACATTAAAAATATTATTTTTATCCTTCTGAATGCTAAAATGTCATCCCAAGAATTGATTTCTAAGAAAATATCCTAAAAGAGGGTAAGCCTCAAGGGGACGAGTAGAAGTTTTAAAAGTTATTAAAATTGGCAAGTTGTCGACTCAAGAAAACATTCGTGCAATCAGATGTTGTAGAGGCAAGAAGCAGGAAATGTTTTAGGAAACTTTTTCAGAGGTTCAGTAAACTTCCCATAAGACTATAGATACTTATTTTTCAAAAAATCTCTTTTTTATTAAGTATAAAGTGAATTAGATTATCTTAGTCTGGAAAAATGAGAAAATGATGTCATTAGTTAGAGGTAGGTAAATTATCATTTGTATGAAAAACTATTGCATATAATCAACTTGAATTTACCTAAACTCCCCTTGCTGCTCTGTTCCTGGTCCCCTTGAGGAAAAACAACAACAACAAAAAAATAGTACATGCTTATATTCTGTAGTTCCAAAATGTGACTTAGTTTAAGTGAATAAAGGTCTGCATGGGGTTACAGTGAGGCCATCAATTTGTTTTAAAGGTGCTCAAACATAGCTGTACAAATGTAAGAATCTAGAATATTAATACTTTATTTAGATGACTGAGGAATAACTTATGTCTTAAGTAAACTCTCCTGATAATACAAGCCAGAGCACAGATGAACACTTTAATGCCAGGCTGCTCTACAGTGCTACTTGTGAGCACCCTGCTTTAAGAAGGTATCACACCATTGAAATTTGTTGAAGATGCTTGCTTATGGCTTACAATTTACCCGTCAAAGCTCCCACAATGACATAACACCTTTGATATTAATAGAGGATTTGTATTATTTCAGTTAGCAGTGCTCTAAATGAAGAGTTGGTCTCCACCTGAAACAGGCAAAGCAGAATTTTCTTGGGTTACTTTGGGGCTTGCAGGCATATTAAGGGATTAGGTTTCACTACTTAATCTGTGTGGGTTGCTGCTAGAAGGGTTCCCCCTATCTGGATTAGCTCCTAAAACTAAGAATCATAGTTTTTATAATAATTTTCTTTGCAGTGTTGGTTTTCAATGAGACAGGTAAATTGATTCAGCCTCCCTGAAGGCACACTGCTACTGACATGACAGAGCTGGATGAATGAGATGCTGATGAACAGGGTCCACTCTTCCTGCATATGCTATGGTCTTAAGTTTAAATCAGCCATGAAATAGCATTCAAAGGCTGAGGTGAGCACAGGGATGAAGCATGAAGTGAAATCCCAGCACACTTACAACTAAGATTTATTTTTACACAGGTTAGGTGATAGTTCACCTACAGTAATTTTATGTCTTGATGCATTCACAGACATATGTTGCAACTAAAAGGCAGTGTTTACAAATATGTAACGGGTGGGTGTCAGGATGATGGAGCTAGGCTTTTTTCAGTGATATCCAGTGACAGGACAAGGGGCAATGGGTGTAAACTGGAGCATAGAAGGTTCCACGTTAACATCAGGAAGAACTTCTTTACTGTGAGAGTGACAGAGCACTGGAACAGGTTGCCCAGGGGGGTTGTGGAGTCTCCCACATTGGAGATATTCAAGGCCCGCCTGGACAAGTTCCTGTGTGATGTACTCTAGGTTACCCTGCTCTTGCAGGGGGGTTGGACCAGATGATCTCTTGAGGTCCCTTCCAACCCTTGGGATTCTGTGATTCTGTGATTCTGTGTTGGCACAGACCTCACAAAAACTGTGGGTGAAGTAGGAAGCTTTTAACCATAAGAAAAGTAAGGTTCCAGAAAAATCTGCCTATGAAAGAAAAATATGGCTTTAAGGAAAACCAGGATCAGTTTAGGAAAGCAATTCTAAACTGGATATGATAGTGTGATTTGATGTACCAGTAGATCCCTTTTGGTCTTGTCACCTATGAAAAGAAGAGGTTCTAGAGTAACTAAGTGAAATAACTACCTGATATGCTTTTAGAGATTAGTATTTACATTAGTGTAAATAGAAATGTTGTGTGAAACAGTCGTGCTAATATAAGTAGTGTTGGGGTTCCTTCCCCAGTTTTGTTTTTTTTTTTGGTATAGGCATAGTCCAACAAAAAATTCAGGCACTTCTTTCTACAGTATCTGGATGATTCATGGGGGACTGCCTGTAAGCTCAGAATCATCAAGATACAGTGTGTTTTGTTGCCTCAGGGCTACTGGTTATGGTACTTCTCAGATCAGTGTAGGTGCTAGAAATAATATATTAAGGGCTTTGCTGTACCAGTGTTAGTTGCTGTACTGAATCTCAAATTTGAACTTTGAAGTGATTTTCTAGTGTATTATGCTCCTACAAATCCAGACAGGGAGACTATTTTCAGCTGAAATAAATAAATAAAATAGAAAAGCAAGATGCTGTAGTTACGAAGCATGTTGATAGTTTAAATCTCACTGCATAACGTGCATGTACCTGCTGGGTTGCAATATTGCTGTTAGTTCAGAAACGCAAATGACTGTTTCCTTCCCTGCAGTTGCACAGCAAGTAGGTAATCTATAAGTACCTGTGTGTAGCTCCAGATGGCAAATATCTTGCTACCTTGATGTACCTCCACCTTTCTGGTAAGTCTTTTTAGGCTTTAGATACTTGTTGGCACTCTATAGTGGTTAGAAATATACCCATAGCTTGATTTGAAAACACAGTAGGAGCGTTCCAGAATCTGATTATGAATACATTTTCCATTGTGATCTGACTGCCTGTAAACCCAAGGAATTTGGATCTCATTGTTCAGATCCTTTAATATATATCGAAGTCTCAAAATAATCATAGCCAGAGGATGGAAGTCATTACACTTTCTACAGGGAAAAAATGTCTCTACATGGACTCATTTGCACAAACTGGGTAGCTGTGTCTTGTTTTAATTGGAAATTGACATATCTACATGTGTGGTCTATGTTTTAAAGAGCTCAGAACCTGAAAAATAAGTATTTGGAAATGCAGAGTAGAACAGCCTTCTGATCTAGATTTCATTCATGATGATTTGTGAACTACAGTAGTTAGCTCATTAGAGTTATGCTTAGGAGGCCATATATAAATTACTTTTCTGTGAAAATATCTATATTGTGTCTTATACCAGAAAATTTTAGTTTACCCCTACAAATTATTTTCCACCTCAAAAACCAAGAATGGCAGCTCTCCGGCCATCTGTTTGTAAGCCTCTATTTAAGGAAAGTGGAACTGAAGGACTCTGCCAGGAGGGACCCCCCACTGCAAAAGAGAGGAAGGTGCTTAGTGGCCCCAGCTCTGCTCTCCAGGTGGACTTTACAGACAGATAAGTTGCACATCCACTCTCAATCATTGCAGATCTCAGTTGTCACATACTGGAAAACCTGATAAACTGGTATATTCCAAGACAATAAAAAATTTCTGAACGCCATTCACTGTAAGTATCCTCTAAAGCTGCTTGATGTAAGTACAATGGCACTTTGAAGAAAAGAACACAAAATCAGGCATAGTTTCTGATTACTTATTTTAGCAAACAAGCTACTAGGAGTGTTCAGAGTATGTTTGCACCAAAGAAAATATGTATAATGATTCAGCATCAAAATATTTTTTTTGTGTATCTATCTGAACTGTTGGGTCAGTGAAATTGAACCTGTGACTGGTCAGAGTACCACTCAGCTCTTCTGTGTGTGGCAGTAACCTGCCTGTGTGGACTTTATTGGAAAACTGAGTGATATTAAATATTATGTTTTCATATTACGGCTTCCTTTGCATTTGACCACTATTTTGCACAAAGGCTCTTTACTGCAGTCTTTAAAATCAGAACAACGGAATACAATAAATTAATACAAGAAAATGAGAATTTTGAATATAAACAGATATTAAAGTATCACAGTATCACAGTATGTTAGAGATTGGAAGGGACCTCAAAAGATCATCTAGTCCAATCCCCCTGCCGGAGCAGGAACACCTAGATAAGTTTACACAGGAACTTGTCCAGGCGGGTCTTGAATGTCTCCAAAGAAGGAGATTCCACAACCTCCCTGGGCAGCCTGTTCCAGTGTTCCGTCACCCTCACTGAGAAGAAGTTTCTTCTCAGGTTTAAGTGGAACCTCTTGTGTTCCAATTTGTACCCATTTCCCCTTGTCCTTTCATTGTTTGCCACTGAGAAGAGCCTGGCTCCATCCTCGTGACACTCCCCCTTTATATATTTATATACACTAATAAGGTCACCCCTCAATCTCCTCTTCTCCAAACTATAGAGACCCAGCTCCCTCAGTCTTTCCTCATAAGGGAGATGCTCCACTCCCTTAATCATCTTAGTTGCCCTGCGCTGGACTCTCTCCAGCAGGTCCCTGTCCTTCTTAAACTGAGGGGCCCAGAACTGGACACGATATTCCAGATGAGGTCTCACCAGGGCTGAGTAGAGGGGAAGGAGAACCTCTCTCGACCTGCTAACCATTCCCCTTCTAATACACCCCAGGATGCCACTGGCCTTCTTGGCCACAGGGGCACAGTGTTGGCTCATGGTCACCCTGTCGCCCACCAGGACCCCCAGGTCCCTCTCCCCTACACTGCTCTCTAACAGGTCGTTCCCCAATCTATACTGGAACCTGGGGTTGTTCCTGCCCAGATGCAGGACTCTACACTTTCCCTTGTTATATTTCATCAAGTTATTCCCCGCCCAACCCTCCAGCCTGTCCAGGTCTCTCTGGATGGCAGCACAGCCTTCTGGTGTGTCAGCCACTCCTCCCAGCTTAGTGTCATCAGCAAACATGCTGATAGTACACTCAATTCCCTCATCTAAATGGTTGATGAATATATTAAATAATACTGGTCCCAGTACTGACCCTTGAGGCACTCCACTAGATACAGGTCTCCAACTAGACTCCGCCCCATAGACTACAACTCTCTGGCTTCTCTCCTTCAGCCAGTTCACAGTCCACCTCACTACCCGATCATCCAGACCACACTTCCTCAATTTAGCCGCAAGGATGCTGTGGGGGACCGTGTCAAACGCTTCCAAGGTTCCCTCTCACTCTCAGCCATTACATTGATACATTGTATTTTTTTCACGAATAAATAGGATGCCTTGGAAATTATTTAAAGTGTGTCTGACTTAGGAGACTCTTCAGGAACACTTATGTAGCAGTCACAGATAAACATAAAACCATTAAGATGCACAGTCATCTGCTGCAGGAGCTGTTCGTATTTGTGTATCATCCTTACTTCAGTGGGACTTCACATTGGTTTCTCTGCATCAATATCAGCTAAAATGCATATCTGTTTAACTCATTATTTGTATAATTGCATAGAGTTGGCTTTATTCACACGGTGCTGGCATTGAAAACAAAAATCCAGACCAGTATCACAAAGTTCCCATGTGTGGTTTAAGGAATTACATATTCTGCCTTGTGAGAGTGTAAAATTATAGTTGTATAAAATCACCTAGCAGTTCTTTACCATGAGTTGCATTTTATTACCAATTTCAGATGTAGCCATGAGGTAACAGCTAAAAAGGTCACAGTGCAAATACATGTGCAGAATTTAAATGAGAACTTATTCTTTCTCCAATAAACACACACCGGATGCAACGGAGGAATTGGAACATTTTCAGAAGGCAGCTCAGGCCAATCCGTCTCTCATCAGGGACCATTTCAAAGATTAGTTTCTGATGTCCATAGAAACATATTGTGTGAGCCTGATTTGAGATAACATGCCATTTCTGTGCATTTCCATCTCCTCTGAAAGCATTCCGGCTGCACAGGTCTGATTGGTGGATTTTGCAGTGCCCTGTGAGAGCTGCAAAACCTTGGTAGTCCAAGTGGACTGGCTGCCTCTGTAAAGTGAGCCTGTAAAGCTTTATTTCCTTCTGGGAAAGAAACCGTATCTGAATATTGCCCAGATTTCAAATTACCTGCCCTAGTACTAAACAAAGATTAAAGGAAGAGGAAAGGAGAAAAGTTTTCAGAAATGCAACCTCAGGTGATCTGGTTTCTGTTCTCAGCTCTGACACTTCTTTTGGCAGCCTTAGTAAGTCATTTAGCTGTGCCTTTTTCCTCATCTTCATAATAGGGATAATAGGAACATTGTAAAGATAAAATCGATACTGCTAGTAAAACACTGAGGATCACTGCTGCATAGAAGGCTCACACAAGTATGGGCTGTTTAAGACTTGAAAGACCAGGCAGTTGAACCCTTTGCTGGGACGGCACTGGGGGTCCTTAGCCCACATACAGAGGATGGGGGCAGAGACCAGTCATCAGAATGTGGTATCTGCTTTAATAAGCAC